GCAAGGCACCTTTTTCCGGTCGAGCACCATGGCCTCAGATTTGGAGGTGCTGATTCTCATCCCAGCCGCTTCACACTCAGCTGCAAACCGTCCCAGTGCATGTTGTAGGTCCTGGTTTGTTGGAGCCAACAGGACAACATCGTCCGCAAACAGCAGAGATGAAATCCTGTGGTCCCCGAACCGGACTCCCTCCAGTCCTTGGCTGCGCCTAGAAATTCTGTCCATGAATACAGTATAAATAATAATAATAAATAAAAGTTTAAATTATCCAATAAATTTTGTTACACTTCACGATTGTGTCCCACTTGTTGTTAAAACATTTAAAAAAAAAATATCTTTATGTTTGAAGCCTGAAATGTTGAAATTCGTATTGGCGTATACTTTCGCAAGGCACTGTATTTCTATTTTAACCCCAGAGTCATAAACCAGACCATAAACAAACCCAACGACCAGTTTTATGTTCTGAAAGAAAACAATTTATGCTTTTAAGATATGATTAGATAAGTCTTATTGTCCTCAAGACAACATTTGTCTGGGACTCACTGCCCGCAGAGACCAGAGAGAGACCAGAGAGAGACCAGAGAGAGACCAGAGAGAGACCAGAGAGAGACCAGAGAGAGACCAGAGAGAGACCAGAGAGAGACCAGAAAGAGACCAGAAAGAGACCAGAAAGAGACCAGAAAGAGACCAGAGAGAGACCAGAGAGAGACCAGAGAGAGACCAGAGAGAGACCAGAGAGAGACCAGAGAGAGACCAGAGAGAGACCAGAGAGAGACCCGAGAGAGACCCGAGAGAGACCCGAGAGAGACCCGAGAGAGACCCGAGAGAGTACCAGAGAGACACCCCAAGAGATACCGAGAGAGACCCGAGAGAGACCCGTGATAGAAAGCAAACTGTAATCAGAGCAAGAAACCAGAGACAGGGATTTCAGTACATTGTTTCATTTACTGTATTGTGGTTTAAAACATTGGATTCCTCAACATTCAAGATTCAGTTTATTTTCCATTTGCAGGCAATTTCCACTCCTTCAGAAAGTCCATTTTGCACCATGTCTGTTTGAATCTGAAAGAAAACCAGGACATGCATCCTCTCCCGCTGCCTCCTGCTGCCTCACACACCTGCTTCCAAGACAGACTCATTCCATTCTCTGTGCGTGCGTCTGCCATGGGCCATCCATCTCTAATGCCTCCCTAACGAAGAGAGACCCAGCGAGAGAGACAAGAGAGACCAGAGAGAGACCAGAGAGAGAGAACAGTGAGAGAGAGGGATCAGAGAGAGGGATCAGAGAGAGGGACCAGAGAGAGAGACCAGAGAGAGAGACCAGAGAGAGAGACCAGAGAGAGAGACCAGAGAGAGAGACCAGAGAGAGAGACCAGAGAGAGAGCGAGAGGGATCAGAGAGAGGGATCAGAGAGAGGGGTCAGAGAGAGGGGTCAGAGAGGGACCAGAGAGAGGGACCAGAGAGAGAGACCAGAGAGAGAGACCAGAGAGAGAGGGATCAGAGAGAAGGACCAGAGAGAGGGACCACAGAGAGACCAGAGAGAGAGACCAGAGAGAGAGGCTGAAGAGGGAGACCAAATAGAGAAAGCGGAAAGTGAGACCGGAGAGAGAGACTAGCGAATGACCATAGAGAAAGACCAGAGAAAGAGCAGAGATAAAGAGGGATGCCAGAGAGAGCCCAGAGAGATGCTTCCTCACTCACCTGCTTCCATTTGCTTTAGTAGAAGACAGACTCATTCCATCCTCTGTGCGGCTGCCGTGGTCCATCCATCTCCAGGCCTCCCCTGCTTTACCCCACATCACCTCATCTGTCTCTGCCCACACACACTGCTCCCTGTCCCCACTCAGTCCTCTCCAATCAGAGCCTCCTCCCATCTGCCGCTCTCTCAGGCTATTACAGCAGCCTGGGAGAGGAGGCTGAAAGAAGGAGACCAGAGAGGGACCAGAGAGAGAGAGGGACCAGAGAGGGATCAAAGAGGGACCAGAGAGGGACCAGAGAGGGACCAGAGAGGGACCAGAGAGGGACCAGAGAGGGACCAGAGAGAGGGACACTAAAGAGAGAGACCAAAGAGAGACTAGATAGAGGGCCTGAGAGAGACCCAAGGGGAGAGACCAGAAGGAGGTAAGAGCGAAACAAGAGCGAAACAAGAGCGAGACCAGAGCGAGACCAGAGCGAGACACCGGAGCGAGAGAGACCGGAGCGAGAGAGACCGGAGCGAGAGAGACTGGAGCGAGAGAGACCGGAGCGAGAGAGACCGGAGCGAAACCTGCTAGCACAATGAAGCCCAATGGGGAAGTGCTCATACTGGCTCCTATTGAGACCAGAGCGAGACCAGAGCGATACCAGTTCAAGACCAACCTGAGACCCCAGTGTTCAGGCCTCCCTGCTTTACCCCACATCACCTTACCTACCTCTGCCCTTTCTCAGTCCTCTCAGACCACCTTGGATTTTGCGAGCGTGTGGCCGAGGCTCCCAGTCCATTACACACGTCCCGAAGAGGGATGGAGGCTGAAGCCGGAGATAAGCGCGACAGGATTACAGCTGATGCAGTGGAAAGCAGAGAGAGCGCAGGGAGATGGTACAATGCGAGCCGACTGTTGCACTAATGAAATGCGGGGGAAGGCAATTAGGATTTACTGTTATTGCTGATGTGGGGAGAGAGGAGGCGGCCGCGCTGGCTCTGACGAGACAATAAAGCACAAAAGGCCCCATTTCTGTCTTATTTGTGCATCTTCACCAACGCTTTAAACTGGAACTTTTCGGTCAAATGCATGTAAACATCAACAACTGACACTAACCATAGAATAGACACCAAAATACAGGCTGAGAGACATGGGCTGGTGTGTCAGAACTAGGGCTGGGAATTGGCAAAACATTTGATGTTTCTACAGAGAGAGACCAGAGAGAGACCAGAGAGAGACCAGAGAGAGACCAGAGAGAGACCAGAGAGAGACCAGAGAGAGACCAGAGAGAGACCAGAGAGGGACCAGAGAGGGACCAGAGAGGGACCAGAGAGAGACCAGAGAGAGACCAGAGAGAGACCAGAGAGAGACCAGAGAGAGACCAGAGAGAGACCAGAGAGAGACCAAAGAGAGAGACCTGAAAGACTGGATAGTGAGACCAGAGAGTGAGACCAGAGAGTGACCAGAGAGCGACCAGAGAGCGACCAGAGAGCGACCAGAGAGTGAGACCAGAGAGTGAGACCAGAGAGTGAGACCAGAGAGCGAGACCAGAGAGCGAGACCAGAGAGCGAGACCAGAGAGCGAGACCAGAGAGCGAGACCAGAGAGCGAGACCAGAGAGCGAGACCAGAGAGCGAGACCAGAGAGTGAGACCAGAGAGCGACCAGAGAGCGACCAGAGAGCGACCAGAGAGAGACCAGAGAGAGACCAGAGAGCGACCAGAGAGAGACCAGAGAGAGACCAGAGAGAGACCAGAGAGAGACCAGAGAGAGACCAGAGAGAGACCAGAGAGAGACCAAAGAGAGAGACCTGAAAGACTGGATAGTGAGACCAGAGAGTGAGACCAGAGAGCGAGACCAGAGAGCGAGACCAGAGAGCGAGACCAGAGAGCGAGACCAGAGAGCGAGACCAGAGAGCGAGACCAGAGAGCGAGACCAGAGAGCGAGACCAGAGAGCGAGACCAGAGAGCGAGACCAGAGAGCGAGACCAGAGAGCGAGACCAGAGAGCGAGACCAGAGAGCGAGACCAGAGAGCGAGACCAGAGAGCGAGACCAGAGGGCGAGACCAGAGGGCGAGACCAGAGGGCGAGACCAGAGGGCGAGACCAGAGGGCGAGACCAGAGGGCGAGACCAGAGGGCGAGACCAGAGGGCGAGACCAGAGGGCGAGACCAGAGGGCGAGACCAGAGAGCGAGACCAGAGGGCGAGACCAGAGGGCGAGACCAGAGGGCGAGACCAGAGGGCGAGACCAGAGGGCGAGACCAGAGGGCGAGACCAGAGGGCGAGACCAGAGGGCGAGACCAGAGGGCGAGACCAGAGAGCGAGACCCGAGAGCGACAATAAGAAAATAAGAAAAATGATTTTATTGCCCAAAATATTGCGATATTGTGCAGAATACAATTTTCCCTCCACACATCAGATCTCTGTGTTTAACCTGCAGCTGCATGTGACCTTGTGTTTTTTCTGAGGCGTATTCAGTGTGACTAAGTTCGTTTTTGACTTTAATTTAACCTGGAGAGTCCCACTGCAGCAGTCGTCTCAAAGGACTTTACAAAGTTGTTGATTCGCCAACAACAGATCAGAGAATCAAACGGTACACAGGAAATGCAATAATAATGTTGTGGAAATTCTGCAGTGACCAAGAGCAAAAATAATGTAAACAACCAAGAGCTATGAAACAATCAAAGTGTGAGTTTATTCATAGTAAATGTGCACATATACAATGAATAACAGAACCGATACCAATACCACCTGCAGCCGTCTGAAACCGTCTGCCCCCAATGAGGAAATGACTGTACACTAAATAGACCAAAGTAAACAAACACATATCTACTCTAGATATTACATAGATGAAGTCAACATTGATAAGTTTTGCTCAAGGCTTTTGTACGCAGATATAACTCTGATATATGTAATAATCTGTTTTTGACCTGAACATATTGTCCTATGACCCAGATGAGGTCAAAGACATGTTGCAGCACGTCTCCATCTATCAGCTGACCTGGATGACAACTGAATCCAGAGTTGACTATTAGTTAATGACACTTATAACTATTTGGTGTTAATTCAGATTGCTTTACTAAAATATTACTATAACAATAACAAACCCATAGGAGCCATTGAAGCATGTTTTTGGTGGTAGAGGAAACCTACCACCAAGTTTTTACTCTTTTATTCCTTATATTGGCATGTTCCAACAACGCCTCAACCTTTCCCACTGTCAACACAACTTTTTCTCTGCTGCTTTCATATTATGTCCTGAAATCTCTGTGCTCCTCTTTTTTTTTTTTTTATTCTAATGATCCTTGACTTTGGCCTCAGAGCAGTGGAAGTCTTCATTCGGGACAAGTATGAGAGGAAACGATACTTCGACAAGGACGCGCTGCCTCCTGTGAGTACTGCGCGTTTAATCAGCTTTTATCCATACACTGTATTAAGATGGACAATGCTAACCTGCTAGCTGCTAACCTGATAGCTGTTAACCTGCTAGCTTAATGAAGCCAATGGGAATGTGCTCATACTGGTTCCAATTGACTGGCTCAGTAATGGTTTAGCGCTCTCTGTGATCCTGGTATTTATATTGTGTACTGATTGTGAGAGAGAGAAGCCAGAGAGGGAGACTGGAGAGGGAGACTGGAGAGGGAGACTGGAGAGGGAGACCGGAGAGGGAGACCGGAGAGGGAGACCAGAGAGGGAGACCAGAGAGGGAGACCAGAGAGGGAGACCGGAGAGGGAGACCGGAGAGGGAGACCGGAGAGGGAGACCGGAGAGGGAGACCGGAGAGGGAGACCGGAGAGGGAGACCGGAGAGGGAGACCGGAGAGGGAGACCGGAGAGGGAGACCGGAGAGGGAGACCGGAGAGGGAGACCGGAGAGGGAGACGAGAGAGGGAGACGGGAGAGGGAGACCGGAGAGGGAGACGGGAGAGGGAGACCGGAGAGGGAGACCGGAGAGGGAGACCGGAGAGGGAGACCGGAGAGAGAGTGTCCAGAAAGAGAGACTTGAGAGAGACACCAGTAAAGACATTTTTGCAGAGTGTGTTTTGTTAATGTCAAGATAAATCATTCTGAAATCATTCCCACATGCATCACCTGAGTTTTGTCATTGTCCACATATTTTTGCAACGTTTCTAAAAAAATCACAGAAAGTTGTCGCTGCTTCCCACAGATGCACCTCCTCTCACTTCACTAAAACACACTCCTTTTTCTCCTGAAAGTGAGGGATCCTCGTGCTCCTAGCTCCTGGCGTCGCATGCTAACGACCCACATCAAAGAACCATTGTGTAGAAAGCTTAATTACGCTGATCATCGCTGGCTCCGGCTCCTCAGCCTCAGCCTCCTCTGCCAAAGGAAGTTGGGCGTCAGCACAACGGCCTCAGTCTGCCCTGGCTCCCCATCCATCAGCGGCGCTTCTGCACAGACGTAAAAGTCCAGTTTGGGGCCAGACGCTGGTCAGATATCGGACAGGAGAAAGAGCAGAGTCGTAAATCATCAGAGGAGATTTACTGCATGAGAAGCACAGGTCACAGAGTGCGATCTCTATCATTCTCCTGCTGTTGAGCAAGACACTCTGGATTAGAGCTGTGTGTTCAGTAACAGATATAGATGGATATAGATAGATAGCCAAAGAAAGAGAGAGTCCGAGAGAGAGAGAGAGCTGAGAGACATACTGTATATCTAGAGGGATAGAGAGAGAGCTATATCACAGCAAAAATTGGAGTGTTAAATTGACTCTCACAGAGTCAATTTTAACTTTTCTCCAGAGTTTATTTGAGTCCACCTCATTTGAGAGTTAATTTAACATTCCTCAATTAGTTAATTCAGTAACACTAGACTAGAGTTTGTTTTTAACACTGAAATCAAGGGTTATATTAACACATTGAGAGTTACCTTAACACTATGTCAGGTCATCACACAACACCAAGGTGGTGTTTTATTTTTACTATTTCTAATGTTAAGGTAACACTATGTCAGGTCATCACACAACACCAGGTGGTGTTTTATTTTTTACTATTTCTAATGTTAAGGTAACACTATGTCAGGTCATCACACAACACCAGGTGGTGTTTTATTTTTACTATTTCTAATGTTAAGGTAACATTTTTTGAGTAGCTGCTATACACTTCAAAAGGTTGAATAAATTAGGAAAATATGTATATTCAAATAAATCTTTTTAATTATTCATTAAAACATTGTAAAAAGGTGAAATTATGTACAAACTTCCATCTGAAACATTGCAGGAATTTTGAATATCAAACGGCTTCGGATATTTAAGATCCGAATGGGTGACAAGACATCTTTCATCACATCTAGAGACTCTGAAGGCATGATAATGAGCATCAAAAGCCTCTACAAACATCTTTGAGGTCAGAAAAAAAATAGAGTTCTCAACCAGTAGTACTTCTAGAATTAGAGAGAACACAGGAATAGATTGTTCCATCGCAATCCATATCACAAGACCTGCTCTATATTCAATACCATCTACTTTAACCCAGCTGGATGAGAACACTTCTTTTGCCATTACAAGCATCTGATTGTTGAGCACGTCATTAATCTCAACATGGTCAAATAATTTAATTGGTCCATATTCATTCCTTTTAATTGAAAATGTCTCCCAGTGATATGCAATAGCCATTTGATGTTTTTTTGCAAGGGATTTAGTCACGTTTTTGAAATTTTTAAAATAATCTTTAAGAACTTTGTGTTTGGCTTCGAACCTCATTGACCACATATACAACAGAGGACCTATTTTTCTGATTGCAGAAGGATAATGAATCATAAAATTATGTTTTGGTAACAAATTTTTACATGGATACAAGACCTTAAACAGTTTGTGATGCTCAGCAATCAGATGTTTTAAATAAACAGTCATTCCCAAAGTAACTGAAGGTGAAAAAACAATGTCCATTATTTGCAACAGCAATAACAACAAATACCAATGCTCATTTCCAGAAGGAATGAGATCACCAAATAACAGTGGGATGTTTTTCACCAAACACAAAGTTTGGATGGAGTTGAGACCAATTCCATTGCCAGTACCATCTAAAATCACCTTTGTGGGTCGATTTTTGCGTTCTAAAAATCCATAATCAAAGCTATAAATTCTAGAAAGCAGGACTTGTTCTGAAATAAAATGTTTTGTTATATAGCCAAATAGTAATTTCATCTCATACTGTGCGACACCCTCAAGAAGATCGTGCATTATGTCAAATGAATAATTATCACAGACATGAAAATGAGCAAGGGAATTGAGAGTAGAGATTCTTTTCAGCCCAAAGACTGATTTGATTTGTGGGTTCTCTTTGAGAGATTGGCAATGAGTTTCAAATAGTTCTTTTATGCGAAAAACCACCTTGGGATCATCCTCACTGTACACATTTTGTATGTCACTCTTCTCTATCAAGCAACGACGACAGGAGTGACGGCTACTGAAAGACTCATTGAAACCAAGAATTGTGTGCATCCCCAGATTATCACCTGTGATCTGTGCTATTGTGCCAAACACGCGCTCTTCAAAGAAAGGGAGGTCTATTCCTTGACTCTCAAGTTTCTTTACATCATTGATCAGTGGTTTCAGAATAGCATCAAATCCATATTTATGCTGATCTTGAGAATGAAAAAGGGATACTAAGTGAATGTTCATTAAGACAGAGTTAAATTTGGGGGGCAAGTTTCTTAAGATAAAATATAGACAACCAATTTTGTGAATCCCACGTTTAGACCCAAGAGGGTTAGCTGGTTCAAAGTCATCGTAGTACAGCTGGATCTGAAGTGCATGCTTCTTTGTGCTGAAAAGAGGGTGGTTTTTTAAATAACTCCCATCGTTTAAGTCTTTTAACAAGTCCAGATCTGAGGTACAGTCTCTTTTCAGTAAATCACAAATTTCGGAATTTCTGCACATGAATTTTAAACTATCCAAAATTGGCACATATATAAATGTATCCCTTACAGGAACCTGTTCAAAAGACCCTGAAGCTGAATTGTGCCTGTTGTCATAACGGATTCCAAGAAAACATTCTACAGGCTCAACTACTCCCCATTTTTCACTAAAGTATTTGTTTCTCTTCCACTCTGTGTTTAAGTTTACAAATGGGTTTTCCATATTTTTAAAAGATTGATCAATTAATAAAATGTTTTGATCACTTGAAGGCAAAATGTCTAAAACTGTTTGCTTTGCTTGCGAACGCAACTCACTGGTTAATTCCTCCAAATCTCCCACAACTGATGACAACAAACTATTAGGTATCCCACTCCCCTGTAATTTGGCGACAATGGATGCACACATTTCTCTTGTTAAGTCTTTATCACCATGACGAACACTCTCAATGGATAAACTAGAGGTGCTAGACCAGGGGTCGGCAACCCGCGGCTCCGGAGCCGCATGCGGCTCTTGAGTGCTCCTGGAGTGGCTCCTGGAGCCTTTTCAAACATGTCTGAAAATGGAGTGTGAGGGCTATATTTTATTTCTAGTTTGAATGTGGTTTCTGTAGAAGGTAAAACAATCTTTACGTTTTTAAATGCTGTAAAAATATGTATAAGTAATATTTAATTTCAACATTTCTGTCAACGTAGTGCGTCATATCCTATGACGCGCGGTCACGCGGCCCCGCCCCATGCGGCCGCTGCTGTAAACAAACCGGCGTGTGTGCATCATAGACTCACATGGATCCCGAAGCTAAACTGAGAAAGAGTCGATAACAAGACTGGACTAAGAATGAGAATGAACATTTTCTTTCAGTCAATGAGGAAGGACTGCTTCATGTTTGTAATGAAAAGTTTTGTTGCAACACGAGGAACAATGACGCGCAAAACACCGTAAACGGTGATTACGTGAAGGATTCATTCATCAAAAATTCAGAGCACCTTTTTTCAGACTTCAAAACCTTCTCAAAGACGGTGAAAGAAAAGGCCATTAAGGATTTTAATTCAGCTCCAGCAAACTTCAGCCTGTGACGTGATGGATATGAGCAGACAGTGATGCAGGTATGTGACCTCTGAGCCCAAAGCAGATTTATTTTTCTGTATTTCTACAATTGCATGAAGGCAAAAAAATGGAAGTTAAACTAAAGCTTATTCACGACACGCGTGGTGCGACACGCTGCAGTGAAAATACACATTTGATAATCATGAATGATTATTATGTATTTGTAGCCTTTACTTTTAGATATTAGGCTAATATAGCTAATACATCTTGCAGCCTGTGTTAACTTCATAAAAGCCTTATACAAGGCTGTTATTTTTTTTGCGGCTCCAGACAGATGTTGTTTTTAGTTTTTTTTGTCAATTATGGCTCTTTGAACATTTTGGGTTCCCGACCCCTGTGCTAGACTGATCAGATGACATAAAATGGTCACCTGACTCATTTCTCTGAACAACAATTTCAACCGACTCAG